TTATGTAAAACTCTCGTATACATGAGTTTCTGTGGATTTGTTTCTCTAAAGGACCCAGACTGACACAACATGTTTCTGTGCAGATGCACACTGAGGCAGAGCAGAAAGGAAAGCCATGTGATCGTCCGTGGGCAGCACTTCCTTCTGTGCACACACGCTCACCACGCGTTGGAGTCTCTCCATCGGCTGACTTACCTACCTGTATTGGAAGGAGCCCTATGAACACCAAACTCGCTGCCACTGAGTTCCGCAGGGCCACTATGAGTCAGAACAGATTCCATGGAAGCGGGTAGAAAATAAAAACCAATCTCTAAACCTTTGGTTTGGAAGAGACCCCAGCGAGCAGCAATCTAGGCTACAATGGCTACATGACTAGCTTCTATAGTAGTCGTGAAAGATGCGTCCTTTCTCTACTCTCTTTAGCTGATCCAGCTTTAGGAAATGACCCCTTTACCCAGACTGGCAATTAAAAAAAAGGAATCACGCTTCCAATACCAATTCTTCACCTAGGATTTCCAACCACGAAATGACATCATCTTTCAGTTTCCAAGGCCCTGTAAGCCAGTGCTTCCTGATTATTCCCTAAACCCTTCATACCCTAATGAAATACTGGATGGCTGAGGCCTGCAATTCTTAATGCCTTCAATAGGTATTCAAAGGGTGTGCTGATTAATTATGTTGATATTTTAAATCTAACGAGAGCAAAATGAGGGTTCCTTCCATTGAATCTTGTGCTGCTCATGGTAGCCAGATGAGAATCACATCATGTTAATCAGGAATTAGAAATAAAGCTACACTTCATTAGCAGATGAAGTGATAACTGTATAGTTTATATCAATTGATATAAAGAATGACATATAGTTTATATCAATTAAAGGCTTCCGTGGAGAGAAAAATGCTGTATGCAATGGGAAATGACATTTCAGAGAAATTTGGGCAAAATGTACACAGTTCACAGAGAACTTTCTCCTAAGTGGTTTTTCTCAACCTATACTGTGCAGATCTGGTCTAGCATGGATGTATGTGTGTTTAGGATGGGATACCGCCCAAACTGGAAAACTGTTGGGCACAGCTTTCGTAATACACATTTTGCCTGCTAGGCGAGCATCAAGCAACTTGCTCTGAGTTAGAGCACCCAGTGATGAAGGTTCT